CAACTGTGGCTGGAGGCACATTCGTTGAAGGCCAGGCTTTGAGATAAAGACAAACGATTAGACCTATATACCTGCCGGAGGGATAAACAGTAATGATCATTATTTCAAATAGGCATCAGGCACCCGGGTAGGTGACCGGGACCTCCTGACTCATCTTTGCCAGAACAGGCCCTTCTTCTTTCCACTCGTGCTACGTGACCCGCTTCCCCGTCAGATCAGCATGACCTAAGCGGCTGTACTTGTAATCTTATTAGCTGATGATAGTTTTGTCCCGCATTGTGCCCACCTGGTGATCTCATACCCACCTTGTGATTTGGCTCTTAACTTCCACTGTTCCTCAGAATTTGTTCGTTGATTTTGGGGAACTTGAACTTGGCATATTGGGCATCTAGCAGGGTGAGACTTATGATATTTTCCTTATGTCATTTGGAGGTCTTGTATTAAACATGTAAGAGTGGTTACAGTGATCTAGACTGTTACAGGGAAGCAACAGAAGATGGAGAATCGCCGGGTGTGCTGGCTCCTGCCTGTAGTCTCAGCCCCCTGAGGGGTTGAGGCAAGATCAGCAGTTTGAGCCCAACTGAACAACTCAGTGAGACTGTCTCAAAATAATACAATTCAAGGGTGAGGATTTAGCTCAGTAGCATAAACGCCTGTCTGACAAGTGTCAGGTCATGATTCCTGGTACCCCCAAAAAAAGAGAGAGAAAAGGAAAATAAAAGAAACTGAGGCTCAATGAAAGTCAATTTTTGCCTTAAAAATAGTCAGCTGGGTGGTACACACTTGTAATCCCGGCACTTGGGAGGTGGAGGCCAGAGATTGCTGTGAGTTCCAGGCTAGCCTGGGCAATATAGTAATTCAAAGACAGCCTGGACTGCATAGCAAGACCCTGTCTCAAAAAAACAAAACAAAACAAAAAAAATGTCAACTATAATTCCAGTGCTTAGAAGGCTGAGGCAGGAGGATTCAGAGTTAGGCCAGCCTAAGACACTGGGATATATAGCAAGCTTCTGTCCAGCCTGGAGATAGAAGGAAATGGGGGAGGAGAAGGGAGGGGAAGTAAAATGGATTAAGGTACCATATAGACATGTTTTTCATTTGTATCTTCGTTTTGTTTTTCTGAGACAGAGCTTAATTTTGTAGCCCAGACAGGCTTTAAACTCAGCGATCCTCCTGCCTCAGCTTCCGAAGTGCCGGGATTACAGGCATAAGCCACAACACCCAGCCACAGTATATACATGTACCAATATCCCACAGTGAATATACTTATTATGCATTGTAAACATACTAACAAAAAAATTTTTTTTCTTTTTCACCTGAAGATTATGGTTTAATTTTTTTTTTTTAACAAAAAAATTTTAAAGGAAGAAAGAAACATGCAGGGGCCAGGGATATAGCTCAACAGCAAAGCCTCTGCTTGGCAAGCACAAAGTCCTGAGTTTCATTCAGGAACTCACAAAGGAAAGAGAGAAAGAAAGCAAGAAAGAAAGAAAGAAGAAGGAAGGAAGGAAAGAAAGAAGAAAGAAGGAAGGAAGGAAGGAAAGAAAGAAAGAAAGAAAGAAAGAAAGAAAGAAAGAAAGAAAGAAAGAAAGAAAGGAAAGAAAGAAGTAACACACAGTCAGCGGGTTGGATTCCAGGCTGGAGGCTGGCTGAAGGACCTGGGGTCACCATTCTCCCGCGTATTTCCATTGCCGTGTGGACAGAAGCTCATCCCTCAGCCCCTCAACCTCAGGAGTGGGTTAGAGGACTCTCACTGGCCTCCTTTGGGCTGAACGTAGAATATGTAAACTTGGAGAGTGCAGGCCATTGTGGGGAGCAGTGCAAGTTGGAGAAGAGAAGAGGCAGAGGGATGGGGTGCTAGGGGGACAGAGGAGGGGAAGCCTGAGGAGGAGCCGGCTGACAGGGCCGGCTGCTTTGTCCTGGGCTGTGACCCGGAGCAGCAAGGCCCACGCGCAGGCCACTCATTGTGGCGTGCTCCTCTAGAGGGCAGAGCAGCCGGCCAAGCTCGGGCTATTTTGGGCGATTGTTTGGAGAGCCACCAGGCCAGAAATAGTCCTGTGAGTTATCGGCCTTTGCCTGCTGCCACCCCCAGCTCTCCCAGAGAAATCACCGAGAAAGTGAGCACTGGAGGGCCGGCCGACATTCCAGGGAGCCTTGTAACTGATGGGCCCGGGCTCTCTTCCCACAGGAAGGGCTCCTGGAGCAGAGCCTGTGCCTGTAAAAGGGATTCTGGAAGCTCAAGGAGAGGGAAAGAGGGATTGAGTCAGAGAACAGACAAGAGGGAGTGGAGTGGGAAGAGACCTCTTGCAGGAGAGAAGAGACTCCGGGAAAGAAAGGGAGGCCAGGAAGAAGAAGCCTCTAGGGACAGAGAGAAAGTGAAAAAGAGCATAGTGAGCTGGAGGCTGCTGGGAGAAAGCAGGAGACAAGCAAAGAGGAAGAGCAAAGAGTGGGCAGAGGGCAGGAGGGGGAAGGTGACAGAGCACCAGGGTGTCAGGAGGACCAGGGCTCTTGGGGCTCTGCGGCTACGTGAGGGTGGGGGCGGGGAGAGGGCCACTCATGGAAAATGTGCATCCAGTCCAGTCACAGGCCACCTGTGCAGGGACAGATGGAGATATCTCTCCCAGCTGGAACTGGAGCTGGAACTTCCCCAGAAATCCACAGTCTGCAACTCACTCTCTTATCTCTGTCCCTCCGGAAATCAGAGACCCAGTTATTTCAACATCAGGGACTTTTCTCTCTCTGTTCCTCTGACCCCCTTACCACAGCCAAAGCTTGACGGAGGGGATTGGGTCAAAGCTGCTTGGGGTGCAGGGGGAAAGGGAAAGTGATGACTCCGTGAGTCAGGCTAGATTCTGAGAAGGGTGTTGCAGGGAGGCCTCTGGGGGAGCCCACAGGAAGCTGCACCCTGTGTGTGACAGCCCAGCATTGTCCATCTCCGAGGATGGACAAGGTGAGGATAGAAGCAGCAGGGACCACAGTCAAGTCTGGCTTCTGGACCAGTAGAGTCAGTGGAAAAGTCAGACAATGAACACAGCACTGCTTTCTGGGGAATTTGCCTCAGTTCCTCATAACCAGCTGCCAGCTGCCAGCTGCCGACAGGTTGCAGGAGAGAAGAGACTCAAGGACTGTAAAAATTTCCCTCAGTTTGGGAAAAGTTTCCTTTGTAAGTCGACCCTGTCCAAAAGAATATGCATCCCCAACCCCAAAAGGACCTAGAGCTGCTCCCCTGGACCCGTGCCCCAACTAGGAGCTACTTGCTGGAATGGCATATGCCACTTGGTCTACGAGTGGGAGTGGAACTGGTCTCTGCCTGGCCAGCCCTCAGGCATCCACAGAAAACAGCAGGGAGCTCTATGGCAGAGGCAGAGGGAAAGAGGAAGGTTGGCTAGTGCAGCCAGAGAGCCCGAGCTGGGTACCAGGAGAGGGCACTTCCAGCTGAGACTACAACCACAGCTCATCTGAGTCCTTGGGGGTTGGCACGCCCAGCCTGGACTCCCAGATTTCCTGAAGACGGCAGTCAAGGCACATGGGACATTTCTGGGGCTTCCCACTTGTGTCTTTTGTCTGGGAGAGATCCAGCGAATCATCCCGTCAGCTTCCGAACGAGGCTAAGGAAAGGAAGGAGATGTAAACAGAGATAGCTCCGCAGGCAGCGGCTCTCGCTAACATGTCTGTGATCCTGACTTTCCGACTGAGGTTCCCCGCTTTCCCGACACACCCCCACCACCACCATGGGAAAGCTGCTTGGAGGCTCCCCGTGGTTGCCCTTGGCAGCTGTTTACTGAAAACTCCAAAACAACTATCCCGACACTACCAAACACCCACTTAAGCTTCCTCTGATTTATCCGCTGTTTCTATGGAAACCGCCCGCCATAGAATCCTGTCATCTACACAAAGCATGACAGTGTGTGAGCCCCAGGGGCCTGTGTGCCGTCTTCTCCCCTGCAGAGCCCCTGTGGCACCCCCTAGTTTCCCCTCCATCCACAACATCCAGGCCCTGCGACCAAGGCACCTGACCCTGCGAAGCCCTGAATATCTGCCCTTGGAAGAACTCACTGGTCACTCTTCTTCCCCTAATCCCCTAACCCTAAAAATGCACCCCAAAAGCTCACCACAAATTGACACTGCTTCCTCCCATCCCTCCTCCCATGACCACAGCCACCAGCATCCTCGCCTGGAGAAGGAGGATAAGGAAGAAGCCCTCCCCTGCCACCGCACGAAGCGAAAGAATGAACTTGACACCTGCTTTGCTCCCAACTCCTCACCCAGAGTTTACCATGGCAACTCCCATCTCTGCCAGCCACCCACACCCCACCCAGCACACCTCAAACCCCAGCAAGCTAGACAGGGCTGTTGACACAAGGCGAGCCCTCGGGCACACCGAGGGCGTCTGGGCACGTGGAGAGTCAGCCACGCATCATCGGAGCACAGAGGGCACAAGGCGGGCGCAAAAGGATCTGGTGTCCTTGGTCTGTCAGAGCCCAGACAGTCATGGGGCACACTCTATGTCCCTCTGGACACCAGGCTGAGACCCAGAGGAGCAGACATATTTTTCGGAGTTTGCCTGAGGTGCAGGAAAACAGCACTGGGAGAAAGCTCGAGGGATTGTTAGCATCTTGATAACTCCAGCTACCTGTTTTTCCAAAGGGAGAGAGGAAAACATGAGCTGTTTTCCCTCAAGCTGAGCCCCGGGGAAGGCGGGGAAGGCCACTGCAAACACCCGGCGCTGTGGGCCCTGGGGTGCTGCCAAAAATCACTCTGGCAGAACATCCAGAGAGCCAAGGCACAGGCAGGGGGCGGACAAGTGCATGGAGGCCACTAGGCCAAAGCAACCAAAGTTTGCTCAATTGTTCCTGAGCCCTTGCACATGCACACTCATGCAGAGGCACACGCACACAGGCCCCAGCAAATCCTGGAGAGGGAGGAGCCAAGAGACCCAGCGGGCTTCCAGAGTCAGAAAGTGGGAGGGGTCAGCATGAGTTCATCTGTTTCCTGCTCACATCTGGTATAAAGGGAGGCTGCAGCCCAGGAGGGACACAGCTGTGCCTGGCTCCAGGACCCAAAGTGCTGCTGTCGAGGAGAGCCACACGCCCTCTGCCTGCAGCCCAGAGCCAGCTCAGCTGTTGCCAAGCAGGACACACCACCAGTCACAGGCCAGGTGAGATAAGCCAGTGCCTCTCTTGCCTCTCTCTCTGGAGCTTGCAGCAAAGAACTTCCTTCCCAGAGTCTCCTCCATCCAGATCCTCACTTTCTCTCTGTTTTCTTTCCCTGCAACCCTGGAGCCTTAATCTGTAATAGCAGTGATCACATTGGAGCCAGGGAAGGTGATCAGGCTCCAACGTCAACCCGTTATCCAGAACGAAGGCCTTGGCTTTCTAGGAAGATGCGCCCCCTCTTCCCCCACCTCAGGAGAGGGGCTTTGAGCTGCTCCCCTGAATGAAACAGTGGTTGGGGATGTGATGAGGGAATCAAAAAGCACCATGTATCGTAACATAGCCTCTCGGGCCCGTGGATGGGGAAGGGATGTACCCGGGTGTTCTCGCTCTACTCCTACAGCAAGCAACAGGCTGCACTCCCAGGGGCTGGCAAGGGACAACATCAGCTAGAAGTGGGATGGGACGGGCTCGGCATCTGTCCCGCCAAGATCTCTTAGAAGCTGAACTTGCTCTGTTTAGGGGCGTCAGCTCCTACTCAGCCGTTCTTCTGGAACTTTCTCTAACTAGATCCTTCTTGGTCCATCCTAGGATGCACGTAGCTCCCACACTTGCCTGCCTCATCCTGGGCCTGGCCCTCGTCTTTAAGGAAGGGTCCACCCTGCAACCTCATGAGTCCCAGGTGGCCCAGCTGGCCACAGACTTCGGAATGAAGGTGTTCCGGCAGGCGGTGGAGGCCTCCAAGGACAGCAACCTGGCTTTCTCGCCCTTCGGGGTGGCCTCGGTGCTGGCCATGCTGCAGGCAACCACAAATGGAGAAACCCGGCGGCAGACTGAAGCAGCAATGGGATTCAGCATCGATGGTGAGTGGAGGAGAGAGGGAGGTGGGGGGGAGAGACGGCCTCCGTGAAGCAGGCACCGAATGAGGCAGGAGCTGGGGAAGGCTGGGCCCAGCTTAGCCAAGGGGACACGTCCAGCTGCAGTACAGAGATGGCCTGTTTTCCCCCACCACACCCTGATCTGTAAGGCCGTACAGGCCAGCGGATTTGCCATTTATTAACTATGAACCTTAAACTTCAGTTTATTTTTTCTTTCTTTCTTTCTTTCTTTCTTTCTTCTTTCTTTCACCAATCAGATCTTATTGCATTTTCTTCATCTGCAGAATGGGCATGATAAAAATGCCTATGACATAGAGCTGAATGATTACTGAATGGAATTATGCATGTGAAATGATCAGCCCAGCCATATCAAAAGAAGTTTAGGATTCGTAATTTAAGAACAAGATGGGTATGGTGGTGCACTTCTGTAACCCCAGCACTTAAGAGGCTGAGACAAGAGGATCACTTCAAGTTTGAGGTCAAGCTGAACTATCAAGGCCAATCTCAAAAAATGACCACAAATAATAATGATAACTTAAAAACAGAGAAAACAATCTAACCCAAGGAAGGGGTTAGGATCTGAGCCTTGGGGGGAAAGGAAGGAGCTGCAGAAAGAGACGAAGGTTTGGGATGAGTCTGAGGGGCCTGTCCTTCTCATTTGACGCAGGGAAGGGCATGGCCCGCAGTCTCCTTCAAGTGTACAAGGAGCTCACAGGCTCGTGGAACGGAGACAAGGTCAGCATCACCGACGCCATCTTTGTCCAGAGGGACTTGAGGCTGGTCAAGGGCTTCATGCCCTACTTCTTCCAGCTGTTCAGGACCACGGTCAAGCAGGTGGACTTCACGGAAGTGGACAGAGCCAGGTTCATCATCAATGACTGGGTGAAGAAGCACACGAGAGGTGAGTGGCCACCCAGGGAAGGTCTCCGTGCTGTGGGGAGGGGATTAGGAAATAGCACCCATGCCTGAACCTTCCCTTGCGGACTTATCTGCCAGGTGGGCAGAAGGTCCAGGGCTTTAAGAACCAAAGCGTTTAGTTGGATGTGATGACTCACATCTATAATTCTAGCACTTGGGAGGCTGAGGCAGGAGGATTGTTGCGAGTTCAAGACCAGCTTGGGCTACAAAGTGTGCTCAAGGCCAGCCTGAACTGTATAGCAAGACCTTGCCTCGTATGAGTTTGAGCCCTGGTACCAAAAAAAAAAAAAAAAAAAAAAAGACCTTGCCTCAAAAAGACAAAGAGAAAAAGAAAACATAGCTCAGTGTGAAAGGCCTTGGGCTCACACTCATACACATGGCAATTTAGGGGGAAAGGAAGTCAAGGCTGAAGTTTCTAGCTCTGACCCTGGACAGGATCCTAGGGTCAAGAGAGTGTGGTGAGCTGGAAGACTTCCTGAGACTCTTAGAAAGATGGAACAAACTGAAAGCGGCCAGATTGGTCTACTTAAAACTGTAGTGGTGGTGCACTCCTGTAATTCCAGTACTCTGGGAGGCTGAGCCAGGAGGATCACTGCAAATTTGAGACCAACCTGGGCTACAAAGTGAGCTCAAGGCCAGCTTGAACTGCATGCATAGTGAGACCCTGTCTCAAAAAGATGAAAAAAAAAAAAGATGGGGGTGATTTAGCTCAGTAGCTTAAGCATGTTGAGTTTGATCTCTGGTGCAAAAAAAAAAAAAAAAAAAAAGGACAAAAAAATTAAAAATTGAAAAACAGCTGGGAATGTTGCTTGATGCGAACGCCCTAGGTTGAATCCCCAGCAGTCAATCAATCTGTCCCCATCTGCCCTCTGGTTCCCATCTATATACATCCACCTGAAGGCTGGGAGCTGAAGAGAACTGTCGAAGAGGCTTCAGAGGCGCCTCACTTCCCGATCTCCTGCTTTCCTCCAGGTATGATCAGTGACTTGCTTGGCGAAGGGGCCGTTGACCAGCTGACGCGCCTGGTGCTGGTGAACGCGCTGTACTTCAATGGCCAGTGGAAGATGCCTTTCCTGGAGGCTGCAACCCGACCCCGCCTCTTCCACAAGCCCGACGGCAGCACTGTCTCTGTGCCCATGATGGCACAGACCAGCAAGTTCAACTACAGTGAGTGCGAGACCCTCTCCTCATCTCAGACACCATCATGTGATTGATCATTTGGGACCAAAACATCCTGCTGGGGAAGGGCTATGTGGAAGATCAGGTTAGAAGGGATCAGGAGTGAAATTAGAGTCTGGGTGTAGCCGAAGGGAGTTAAGCGTCAAGAAAACCCAGAAAGACAGAGAGAAGAAGGAGGAGGAACGGGGAGGAGACGCCAAACTGGCACAAGAGAAGGGAAATGGGATGGAGACACTGAATAGGTGCTGGGGGTGTAGCCTGGTGGTAGCGCCCTAAGAGTGGGGTCCTGAGTTCAGTCTGCAGGACTGGAAACACAAAACCTCCGTAAACACTCCACATCTGAACGGCGCGGGGTGGGGACGGGGAGGCTCTGAAAGCTCAGTGCTGCCTGAGCAGCCACCTTGGTTTCTTCACAGCTGAGTTCCTCACCCCTGGTGGTGACTACTACGACATCCTGGAGTTACCCTACCTCGGGGAGACCCTCAGCATGTTCATCGCCGCTCCCTACCGAAAAGAGGTGCCTCTCTCCGCCATCACCAGCATTCTGGATGCCGAGCTCATCAGTCAGTGGAAAGGCAACATGACCCAAAGGACCCGCCTGCTGGTCCTGCCCAAGTGAGCTATCAACCATCAGCCGGGCACCCCCCTCACTCCCCATTTCCCCTTGCCTGTGTGCTGAGTCCCTGAAACCACTGTCCCCTGTGTTTCCCAGATCTGTGACGCTGGTAGGGCAGGGACATGTGTGGGAGGCTGATGGGAAACGCCAGCCTGAGTTTGATTACAATTCCTGCATCATCCGTCCATCTGTTTCTCTGTGGGCGCAGGGGAGAGTCCCTCATCCCTCCCCACCCCCCCTGCGTACCTCCCCTGGAGGGGAGCTGGAGAAATGGTGGAAATGCAGGAGGCTGAATCGGCCTGCGGCCCTTTCTGAATGTCCTATAGTTCCACCTCCATTTCCTGGAACCAACATTCAGGCGGTAGAACAAAAGAAATCACTTCCCAGATGGGACAGCCCGACTGCAGCTTCTGGCTGGAGTTCCAAAGTCCTTTTGCACAAGCAAAGCGGGTGGAGAAGGCTGAGGCTGGGTGATCAATCACAGGGATCTTCTGCCAGGCTTACCACAGACTTCCAGATGCTATAATGCCAGGCTTAGGGAAAGAGGAGAATTTATTGGCTTAGCTGGCAGCTCAGATTCCCTCTTACAAGAATGAGGTAATTAGGCGCACCCTGGTGGGGAGCATCCAGCCCTCTAAAGATTTGCTGCCTGAGTCCTCTGGTGTTAGTGCTACAGCCAGGCATGGTGGTACATGCCTGTAATCATAGCACTTGGGACTGCCATGACTTTAAGGTCAGCCTGGACAAGACTCAGTCTCAAAAAGAAGAAGAAACGCAATCTATAGACCTGATCCTTGCAGGAGCGTTTGACCTTCCCACCCTCCTTTCAGTTCAGACTGAATAAAATTATGCTGCAAGGGGCTGGAGGTTTAGCTCAGCGGCATAAGCGCCTGCCTTGCAAGGAGGCAGTCATGAGTTTGACCCCTGGTACCAATAAAAAGGAAAAAGACAAAAAGAAAAAAATATTATGCTGCAAATACTGCCTTACTTGAGAAAAGTGACCAGTCACAGGTTCAAGGCAGGTGGAGAGACTGAAAAAGAATGTCCATTAGTATTAGAAACTTCCAGCAAGGAGACTTTGCAAATAGACCTCCCTCTTCCTCCACCCCATCGGTTCCCTCCCTCCGGATCTGCCCCAGTTGGTGGGGCCCTGGGAGGTGCAGCTGCCACAGCAAGGGGAGCTGAGCTCGAGCTGTCTCCTGTGGCCAACAGGTTCTCCCTGGAGTCAGAAGTGGACCTCAGGAAGCCCCTGGAGAACCTGGGGATGACCGACATGTTCAGGCCAGACCGGGCGGACTTCACAAAGCTTTCAGGTGAGAGACCGTGTCCTGTACTGTCATGGCCCTCCTCCAATGGGGCCCCCAAGAAGACCGAGGAGGCTCCCCCAGAGCAATGACTGACCCACCTTTGCATCTCCCCATTTCAGAAAGAGAGCTTCTGTATGTGTCCCAGGCGCTGCAAAAAGTAAAGATCAAAGTGAACGAGAACGGCTCAGTGGCGTCCTCCTCCACAGGTGGGTCCAGCTCACAGAAGCTGACACTGTAGAAGGGACCCCTGCCACCCTGTTCTACTCCGACCTTTCTCCCCAAGCATACTTTCCATGAGAACAGGAAGTTCCCCCTTTCTTTATCGTCTGTGTCTCAGCCTGGAAGACACAATGCTTTCCATAGGACCCTGTTCCCTCACCTATGGTTCCTGAGGTCCCTGAATTTGAAAAGCCCCACCCCACAGTCCAGGTGTGGTGGTGCACACCTGTAATCCCAGCACTCTGGGTGGCTGAGGCAGGAGGATCTCAAATTCAAGCCCAGTCTGGGCAATCTAGCAAGACTCTGTCTCAAAACAAAAGGCTAAAGATGTAGCTCAGTTCAGAGGCCCTGGTTTTAATGCCTAGTTTGGAAAAAAAGAAAAAAGTATCCCCTCCTCTAGGGAAACTGGTTCCACAAAAGAGAAATAGATGTAAGGGTCCTGCTTGTCCATAAAGCTTTAGACAAGTGGGCATTTGTGAGCGAACAACTGCTAGATCTTGACCAAACTCCGGAGGAGGCCTGGGCTCAGAGGACATCCCTCAATTTCCAAGATCCAAATTCAGAACAAAGAAGCCACCAGAAAGTCACTTCCTTACGTTGTCCTCAGATGAGAGGCTGACGTCTCTGGGCCCCTTGGGATCAACCCGGGTATTTGTGCTGATGTCCCCCTCACCGAAGACACTGTCCCTTCTCTCCCAGTTGTTGTGATCTCAGCCCGCATGGCCCCTGAGGAGATCATCTTGGACAGATCTTTCCTTTTCCTGGTCCGCCACAATCCCACAGGTAACACCCGTGTTCCCCTGCACCCCTCTGCTGTCTCGCACAGCCAGCCAGTTGTAAATGCCCCTCAAGTCCACTCAACATCCAGACTCTGGGCAAGGACTGGAATTGGGTCCCTTGCCTGTCCTCAGAGGTGGCGGCCAGCTGTCACAGCTGATGAAGGGCTACAGTCCTAACTCGGGACAGCCACCACCTTCTTAGATCCGTTCACCCGTGAACATGGCCCTTCCTCTCCTCACCTCTCATAATTCTGCTGTCCACAGGGACAGTCATCTTCATGGGCCAAGTGATGGAGCCCTGAGCAGGGGAACGGAAGACTGCACCCGGAACAAAACTAAAGCTGTGTCGGAGAAGAGATTTTGCTCTTATGATTCTTTGCAGAGAAAGACAGGGACATTTGCCTTTTCCTTTCTGTGGTAAATCTTTCCAGTCGACTTCCTCGATCTAAGTCTCTGTGGGAGGAGCTTGGAATCTGACTCTGGCTGGGGACCCCCTTCGGGGGAGGCCCCTGGAACATGAGGGTCTCCAAGCTGGGCTGTAGGAGCTGCAGATCCACTGGCCAGATGTGTCTGCCTGCCTCTCTGCACATTGGGTCCTCGGACCTGATTGTCCCCGAGGCCCCTGCAGACCAGAACCACGAGGCTTACTGGAGCTTGTCTGTGCTTGGTAGGAACAATTTGTGTTCCGCTCATGCTGCTGCCATCCCTGCCCTGCCTGACACTGCGGTGGCAGCTGGTGACGGGCCAAAGCAGGCCGACGGAGGGAACGCTTTCATCTCAACATCTTCCCTGCACTGACCACTGCCCCTCTCAGAAGGGCCACAGACTGGCAAAGTGAACACCAAGCCTCCCTCTCCCGAAACTGCGTATCATTCTGGAGTGTAGGTGATTGTTTACTCATAGAAGCAGGTTTTTGCTTCCCACAACTTTATTTTTGCAGGAATAGAAGAAGAAAGGTGAGACGTGTGCCTGGCCCCTCACCTGCACCAGCCTCCTGGTGGGGAAAGTGAGGCGCCAGGGGTGTGCTTGAATATTTATCATTTCCTTGCCTTTGTGTGCTTGTTAGAGAGGAAGATATTTTCTTAAGGAAAAAGTGTTATTTAAGCTTGTACATAGAGTTCTGCTGTGGTTTGTGCCCTCGCATCTCAGGGGTTCGGCCCTCCAGCCTCAATCCGCTCTGGGCGCAGACGTGCCGGGCCCCACACTGCCACCTTGTGGCTGCCTGGGCCCACGCCTCCTTTCTTTCCACTTGATGGCCAAGGGACCCTGCCAAGCTGCTCTAACCATAGCCCACCTTAGGGACCAAAAGGATGGGTGGGTGACGTGACAGAGACTTGAGTGAGGACAAAGTGGTTTCAAGTTTTTCCAATATATTTAGAGCAGAAATGCAAGGGGCTGCATGACCTACCAGGACAGAACTTTCCCCAATTACAGGGTGACTCACAGCCGCATGACTCACTTCAATGTGTCATTTCCGGCTGCTGTGTGGGAGCAGTGGACACGTGCGGGGGGGGGGGGTGAAGGAGACAGCCAGCTCGGACGCCGAGCACCTTGTTAGATAATCATTTTGAAACCCTGCTAGCTGGGGGGAGGCAGGAAGGCCGATTTATAGCAGCATTGCACGTGGATGCGAAATGAATGTAATCTCATAGGCGCCTCCACCATCCCACCATGTTCTCCACTGAAAAAATCCTCATTCTCTGAGTTCTCTTTAATGCTTTTTTTTCTTTTCTCATGATGCACTGGATGATGAAAGTCACCCGCAGCCCTTGTAGGGGTCCCTAAACATGGTGTCAAGTGTTTTGAAATTGTATTCGACTATTTACATGTTCACTTTTGATATATAAATATAAATGTATTTTAAAATAATAATAAAATAAATATAACGCATATGCCATCCCTATCTTTACCTCTATGTTCCCTACGGTACCAAGACTCAAAGCCTGTTGGGTGGTGGATCTCTCGGGGGTTGGGATCTCCGGGAAATGTTCACCAATAGCACAGGCAAGTAGGGCTACTGTGGGTGAGTCCCCAAGGCGGTGACCACGAATATGCAACATGGTCCAGGTCATGCTGAGGGGGGACTTCATTCTCCCCTGGGAATCATCCTTAAAAAAGAAAGAGGGACTAGGAGAATAGCTCAGTGGTAGAGTGTTCGCTTAGCATGCATGAGGCCCTGTGTGCACCACAGTGAGAGCAGGGAGGGGAGGGGAGAGGAAAGGAGACAGTTTCCCCAGACACCTTCCACCCACCCACCCAGGCCCAATCATGATCACTGTCCCTGTAAGCTCTCAAGTCTATTCCCCTGCATCCGCTCCTCCCCTCCTCCCCCTCCGATGGCTCTCAAGTGCAGTCAGTACTTAAGATCCTTTGGTCACTGATTGCATTCATCTGCTCCCCACATCAGGTTCCTTAAAAAAGGCTCTTCTAGGGCTAGGGATTTAGCTCAGCAGCATAAGCACCTGCCTTGCAAGCAGGCGGTCGTGAGTTCAATCCCCGATACCGATAAAAAGAAAAAGGCTCTTTTGTTAGCGTTCCGTATCCTCCTTCAAAGGCTTCCTAAAATACCAGGATTGTCTTCTTCTAGTTGTTGTTGCTTTGTTTTCCTGAGCTGGGGATGGAACTCTGGGGCTGGCACTCAGCCCTCTCTGGTGTGCTAAGAGCTCCAGACAATGGACACAATTCTCCCAGTTACTCCCGGTTCACATTTGCAAAGCCAATTTTTAAACTGAAAACAATTACCAATAACTATCTAGCAAACTTGCATGCCATCTGGCTCCAGAACCCTAAAGATAGGATTGATTGATGATGGCGAACCTTTTGGAGCTTTCAATGATACGAGCAGCCCGCTGTGGCTCATGTGCCATAGGTTCACCACCTCTGGGACTGATACTGCTAGATCCAGCTCTCTGCATGTGTGGCTCGTTTCTGAGTAGGAACTACTCACCTGGAGTCTGGCTCAAAGCACATGATCTAGTAAAGAGGCTGTGAGTTCTCTGTCACAGGAAATATTCAAGGATAGCCAGATGGCTACTAAGTAGAGATGCTTCAGTGACCAGGGTATAGATTTGGTGACTTTTAAAAATTATATTTAATAATATGCTCATAGTAAGACACTGAAATGGTTCAAAAAGACAAAAGTAGGTCAGATGTGGTAGGCACGCCTATAATCCCAGCACTCAGGAGGCTGAGACAGGAGGACTGCATTGAGTTCAAGGCCAGCCTGTGGCTACAATAGCATGACTCTATCTCAAAAAACAAACAACAGCAACAAACTTCCAGCCCTAAAACTGTGACTCCGGTGAGACAAACATTTTCAAATACAAACAAACAAAAGGGACCAATTTGCTGGTGAGACTTAACTTTTTCTTGTTTAAGAGTCCTCACATTATCCTTTTTTCTTGAATGGTGTTAGACTTTCTTGGAGGTAATTCTGAGTATAAAATTTTTGAGAAGAAATCCAGAAAGAGTATTCATTCACTTGCTTACTCTGCAAGCATTCAACACGTGGTAAAGGTTTTCTCATGGCTCCTCTCAATCTGGTCTCAGAGATATATTTTTGTTTGTTTGTTTGTTTGTTTGTTTGAACTAGGGGTTGAACCAGGCCCTTTTTAAAAAAAAATTTTTGAGACAGGGTCTTACTAAGTCACTACATCGCCCAAACTGGGCTCAAATTCAAAGTGATCCTCCTGCCTCTGTCTCCTTGACTGCTGGGATCATGATAGGTGTGTGCCCCCACATCAGGCTTTCCAGGGATATTCTTGGGTACCTCCATGTGATGTGCTCAGATGCTCAAAAGAGAGCCCCTTCTTTATGGATTCCTTTATTTCTTCTGATGTGAAGCTTTCTTTTTTTTCCAGCAAGCTTGGCAGGAAGGGTCTCCTGCCCCTAGCAAGCTGAGGAATCTGGGGACAGACCCGGAATACAAAGCCAACTCCCTAAAGCTACTCTAAATTTGCCTACTTGCTTTTTTTTTTGTTGTTGTTGTTGTTGTTTTTGTCTTTTTGAGACAGGGTATCACTGTGCAGTTCAGGCTGCCTTGAGCTCACTTTGTAGCCCAGGCTGGCCTCAAACTCGAACAATCCTCCTGCCTCAGCCTCCCAAGTGCTGGGGTCACAGGTGTGCGCCACCTCTCCAGGCCTACTTCTAGCTCTGAAGAAAGATGCTGTTCTTTAACATCACGAGTTTTGCCTTTCTTCTGCTGTTGTCACCATGCACACCGGGGCCAAGATGTGGTAGAACTAGAACATCAAAGGCCACCAACCTGCTTCTGGCTGGGTGGCCTGGAGAGGACAGCACTGCATGTGGCCGTCAGCTCAGAACACAGCTCCAAAGTTCCCTCGGGGTTCCCATGACATCTGGGTCACCAAGGAGGCCCTGTCCAAGGGCTCAGGGACATTGCAACCCGGCCTGTCTCGGACCTCCTCGGCCCGAAGATGGGCTGTGGAGCGGCACTGAGCAGTGACCTGTTTGTTAACAGATTTTAGAAACCCAGAGACTGCACAAAATGCTTCAAAAAGCAGGACAAGTGAGCCCTAAGTCTGCAGTACACAGTTCAAACGCGGCTCACAGGAGGAGGGAATTCTTCAAAAGACCCAAGGGCTGCCGAGGAGGCCCACACCGCACCTGCAGCTGCTTCATTTATCAGATATTGGGAGGACAAAGATGGCGATGTGGCCTCTCAGCGCCAGGCCTGCAGCCCTGTCTGACTTCACCTTGGCCTCCATCTTTGGCATTCAAAGATTTTCTTCCCTGCACACACAGAAGTTTTTCTTCCTGTCTCTATTGTTTTTGGGGGTAGAGGGGACAACCAATGTCTACCTGTAGATGCTTTTCTTCATCAGTGTTAGGGATTCACCCCAGGACTGAGCTACACTTCTAATTCCTCTTCTTCCTCTTCCTCCTCCTCCTTCTCCTTTTTTAAAATTCTGAGCCAGGGTTTTCCTAAGTTACTAAGTTGCTCAGGCTGGATTTGAAGTTAGGACCCTTCTGCCACAGGCTCCCCACGAGCAGGCTACACCACCACACTTACACTGCAGGCTTTCTGTAAAGCTCACACAGTGAACTATATATCTGCTCACAGGTGGGCAATACGTGTGAATATCATAAATGGCAAACATGTCAGGTGTGGTACCGCACATCTGTGATTCCAGGACTTGGGAGGCTGAGGCAGGAGGATTGCCTCAAGTTCAAGGCCAGCCTGGGCTACATAGCGAGTTCAAGTCCAGCTTGGACTTTGTAAGGAGACTCTGTCTCAAAAAGATTAAAAAAAAAAGTGGCAAACATCTTCCAATGGTAAAAATATTCTATCAAAATTAAATTGGGGGGCAACCCACTTGGGACCCCTTCTGTCTCTCTCTCTCAGACAGACGCTTTCTCTCAATAAATATTTTTACTCTTAATCTCCATTGTTCCTAAAATTCGTTCTTTAATTTTAGAGAACACGAGCTCATTCCGGACATAGTAGATAGGGGGTTTCATTCCCTATGTCACTATCATACTGTCTTCTACACTTTGGACAGACAGTTGAAGAGACAGTTATGGCTGTGTGTCCTCACAGGTGCAGAGGCACAACTTTTAGCAAAATGTCCCCTCTCCCTGCAACAAAAACAAGTACCTTTTGCTTTTTCCCTTTCCTGCAGGCTGTGAATGGATGCCCTGAGTGATTTTAATTTGCCTCCAACTTTTGGGGATTCAAAGTTTAGTAGCAGAAAGGAAAAAACAAAACAAAGTTAGATTGAGGGAGAGAAGGGCAACAAAAAGAATTGACGTTGTTATGCACATGTACCAACCTTCCACAAGGCATCTAAGCTTTATGTCCTGCAAGTATGTACTATTATAAAAATTTTAAAAACATGTACTAATGAAAATAATTTTTTTTAAAAAAACTGAAACTTGCCAAGGTGACACCATCTGTTTTCCAAATCATTTTTTTTTGAGATAGGGTCTCCCTATGCAGTGCGGGCTGACCCTGAATTTGCTTTGTAGCCCAGGCTAGTCTCGAACTTGCAATGATCCTTCTAAGTTTCCCGAGTGCTGGGATTACAGGAATGCACCACCACACCCAGCTTCAAATCATTTTTAAAAAGTAGTAAGTTTCATCGTAATGACATTTTGTAAACATTTACATAGAGAGGAAGAAAACCAAGAAACAGAAGTTTGGGCTATTATTATTTTGGGTGGTTGTTTGTTTTTATTTTTGTTTTTTGAGACAGGGTCTATGTAGTTCAGGCTGTCCTTAAACTCACTGTGCAGCCAAGGCTGGCCTTGAACTTGAGGTGATTCTCCTGTGTCAGCCTCCTAGGTGCTAGGATTACAGGCATGTGCTACCATGCCAGTGTTTGTGGTTATTATTATTATTATTAGGAGACAGGCTCTAAAATTGCTCAGGCTGGCTTAGTACCCCTGGGCTGAAACCATACTCCTGTCTTTGCCTCCCAAGCAGTCAAAACTACAAGTGCGTGCCACTCTGCCCAGCTCTTGTTCTACCATTATTATTATTATTATTATTATTATTATTATTTCTACTTAACAAGCTCAGGCAGTGCATCCTCTACCATCCTATATGGCCTCTTGGTGGGATCTGTGAACAAAACAACAGGCAACAAGTATCCCAGAACCCTACAAGGGCTCAGAAACGTTCGGCACAAGCACACGCCCCCATAGCCAGCCACCAGCACCTTCAGGGCTGACATCATATGCCAGCCACCTTGGCCACCTCAACACAGCCTCCTGCATATAGAATTCTATCTCCTGGCCACCAGATGTCGCCTTGACTTTACATAGAAGGCCATTCCCTGAAGCCAACCAGCTGTGGCTTCAACCACAATCTTCCCAAGTGTGAACTCCATTCAATTTAACAAGAATTTACTCAGAAGCATATTTATGCATTTATTT